AGAGAGGAGAAGTGGGCGTGGCCAAGAGCGCTTGCAGGTGGCAAAGAACAGAGGAGGCAGAGAACTGAAATCATGACATTCTGTGCTCTTTTAGAGCGTTTAGAGTTTAGAAACATTGCTTAGAATATTGCAAGAGTGTGCGAAGTGTTTAAAATGCCTTATATATATATATATATTTTCACTTATCGTGGGTCTTCAGGGTACGGGAATCCGTACCCGCTGTCATTTTTAACCCTAACCTGTAGCCCGGCCCCGCCCGATCCTGATTCGGACCAGGCCAGGCCATAATAATGTGCTTAGTGGGCCGGGTCGGTGTCGGGCTTTTTATTGAGTCAGGAATGCGTGCGGCCGATGATCCAATATTTGCAAACATGGCTTGTCATGCACCTGCTGCACGTGGCCATTTGACCGTGCGCTGATCGGCCGGTTGAAAGAGGAAAAAAGTTAATCTTCAGATGAACTACTGCCAGCGATCCATCAGCCCAAATGGACGTTCATTTAGCCGCTGCGCTCAGTGGACGCGCGCAGCCGAGACCCAAACAGGTGAGATCACAAAATATCCGACACGTCAGAGCAGGATGCAGGCAGAAGCAGGAGAAGCATGTAATGCACTTTGATGGCTCTTCAGCTCTGATCTTCTGCCCCCTCAGCCGCGTGCATCCACCAACCATTAATAATAGTTGGTAGTTCAAAGCTTAATTAAAAATGTTGGGGGTTTTCGCGTTCGGACCTGTAATTACTGTTAATTCGTCTAATCGGGTGGGGTTCGGAAATGATGGCTACAGGCTGGGGCTTGGTCGGTTCAGATTATTTGTACCCGAGTGCAACTCTAGCAGGGACTACTGTATTGAGTTCTGTTGTGTTTTTTTCTGATCAGTTAACCTCTGTGACATTACTTCAGTTTAAGTTCAGACCCTGATCAGACTGAGACTTCACAACCCAAGAAAGCCAACCTGCCATCTTTAACACCTTTTCCTGTGAACTTTATATATATTTATCCACAGAGTTGATGTGATCAGTGAAATGTTGGAGTTCCTGAGATTTAATTTTAATCCAGGTGTCATCAACATACCTGAACCAATGACTCGGTGGTGTTCCTGAAAAGGACGTCAAGACTCTCTTTTCTACCTCCATATGCAGGTTTGCAAGGTTCTATTAAAATACCTGAGTAAAAAGTTGATTTTATGTTCTTATGAGTCTCTGTGCAACTCTCCTTTGCATGCTGCCAAGACACTTTCAACAGTCTGAGCTCTGGTACTGGTCACTGTGTAGGTAGAACTCATAGACTAACCTGAACTCTCCAAACTCCTATCTTGCTCTGAGGAGATTTTGAACTCACACCCTCTTAGCAGCAGCTCCTCTTTTCTTCCTTATCAATAGAAGTAATGCCAGGGCTTTCCTCAGACAGCCTGAAAGATAAGTCCCTTCTGAATCAAAGTCTGCACCTGGAAATAACTAGCAACCTTTTGGACATCTTTCTTTTCACCCAGTAACTGCCAAGAAAATAGAAGGGTACTTGTGTTTGTGTGCACCTTTTTTCCTGCAGTGCAATGCTCACTGAATCACATGTGAATTCACTACAAGATACACGATATGAATGTCTAAATACAAAGATAAAAGACAAACACTTTGTAGAAACAAGACGATGTTAAAAGTAGCTTTAAAAGGGTGAACCATAAATTGTGTTTTATTGTACTAAATATGCCCTCATCAAGGTTCAAGGTTCTTTATTGTCATTAGTATCACATGTGGTACATGAGGTGGAATGAAATTGTGTACTCAGGGTCCCAGTTACACCCAAAAATAGCAAAAATATAAAGTATAAAAAGAAACAGTATACAAGGATCTAAGATATATGCTAAACAAATGCTGAATGGTAGGCCTGTCATGATAACAAATTTTGTTGGGCGATTAATTGTCTTGGAAATATTGCGATGAACGATAATATGGTTTGAAATTTGACAATAATTAGTAATTATTGTCAAATTTAAGAAGAAATGTTGATTAATTTGTTTTTAGTGTAGTACCTTTTTTTGACCATCAAATGGCAGTATAAGACTGTTTGAACCGAAGGAAGGATAGTGAGGGAGCGAGCAGTGTGTCGCTTTAAGAAAAAATGGGAGGGAGGCCCCTTGACGTGACATGGTCTGTCTCTCCTTCCTTTTTTTCCCAGTTCTCAAAATGGCGGATGCTCTGTGTGGTTTGAGCTCTTTAGCATAGCATTTTTCACACAAAGCTTTTAATAAAAAAATGAGTAAACAAGTTTTCAGCTTCTTTTTGTAAAGAAAAACAAGTTTTTACATGAAGGCACAAGTTTCAACCGTGAATTGTGGAGCTTTGACAAGACGGATATTTCCCTGAGGTCAGCCTGTTAGCTTAGCTCGTAGCTTAGCTTCTCAGCTTAGCTGCTTTTAACCATCCAAAAATGTGATTTTGGATGGTTAAATGGATTTTAAAGCGAAAAGAGAAAGGGAGGGATCAGTGAAGAGCACCGGAGTTGAGCCTTTTGTCATCCAGTGTCTTCAGTAGAAAGAGAGAGACATAAAGAAACGATAAAGCCGATAAATGAAAATGATGTTGAAAATTTTAATTTATCATGCGATTAATTGATTTGATTATCGCGACAGGCCTACTAAATGGTACGCTAAAAGACTTGAGGTATACGATAAACACTAATACAGTAATGTAAAATAATACGGTATATGAAACAGCAGCCCGAACACGAGTCTGTTGTGAGTAGATGGGTATGAATGAATAAATGAATGAATCAACCACTCAGTCTTAACTTTTTCATTTTTTACCCAAACAAAATGCAGCATAAACAACTACAAATCTATCTGTATTTTATACTTCACACAGTTGTGTGTGTTTATCGCTCTTTATTGCACACTTTCGGGAACAGCGACCATCTTGTTTGAAGACACCCATGCACACATACGCACACACACTCCACTGCATTCTCCTTTATTTCAGGTAGTTGTCATTAACGTCTTCTTTTGGTAAATCATGTGGCTCAACTCAATGACAGCTTCATATTTGCTGAACGAATGAATACACACAATTCTTTTGATTTGGTTGTTTGTAACGCATGGTGCTCTCTCAGGTCTGTAATTGTTTCCTCTCTGTCATTCTTCACTGATTCAGAGATTTATTTTGAGAAGTGTACACTGAAGCCACAGGCGCCAGACACTCCATCTTCGTTGGCCGTCTGGCACAGCTACTGCTCTATTTCTTGTGACCTTTTTGTTCCAACTATCCTGCAACCATTACCTGCTAATCTACTTCCCCACTTTTGGACACTACTGTTTTATCATCTTTTTGACATCCAGCTGGCTGAAGTCCAGTGAAAATAATTCCATTCGTACCACATTTTTCTTCATAAGCTAAAAACTTGTCTCTTTAAAAACAATTCGCTCATCCTCTCTGCTGCAGTACCGTCACAATAGTGCTGCAGATGTCATCAATTAAATTTCTTTCTCCTCTCTCGTCTTTTCCCTGAACTGATAAAGCTGTTCTGCTTTGATGAAAAGAAAAATGGTTTTTCTTCTTGGCTCAGATTTATTAGGAACTTGTTTATAATCTCTTTTATTCCACAATGACGTATTTGATAGTATTTTGTTGCTTTAATATTGTTGCGTTCAAAAAAGTATGAGACTAAACGAACTTAAGGAGCAAAGACAGTAGCAAAAAGAGAAAGGATGAGAATGACATGGAAAATTTAGATATACAGCAAGAAAAATAAACCAGTTTACCTTCGGTGTGGATAGCAGACACATAGCTCCAGTTGTATCTTTTGACAATATCCACCATAGCTCGTGCCTGCTGGGCGTCTGAAGGCACCACCCGCATAAAATATTTATAAAGGCTCTGAAACAATAAGAAAATTATTGACATGACGTTAAGAAGATGGAATAAGTTCATTTATAGATAGCTAAACAAATAATTAAAACAATAGCAAACATAAAAATTAAACATTCAGGTAACAATTAATTGTAGGCCTGTCACAATAACAAATTTTGCTGGGCGATTGTCTCAGAAATTATTGTGATAAATGATAATATTGTTTGAAATTTGACAATAATTAGTAATTATTGTCAAATTTAAAAAGAGATGTCTGTTCATTTGTTTTGAGTGTAGTAGCTTTTTTCGACCACCGGATGGCAGTATAAGATGTTTTTTAACCAAAGGATGGATAGTGAGGGAGTGAGCAGCGTGTCTCTAAGAAAAATGGGAGGGAGGCCCCTTGACGTGACATGGGCTGTCTCGCTTCAGTTCTCAAAATGGCGGACAGTCTGTGTGGTTTGAGCTCTTTAGCATAGCATTTTTCACACAAAGCTTTTAATAAAAAATAAATAAATCAGTAAACAAGTTCTCAGTTTCTTTTTGCAGATAAAAAACTACTTTTTAGATGAAGGCACAGGTTTCAACTGTGAATTTTGGAGCTTCGACAAGAAGGAGGATTTTTCCCCAAGGTTGGCCTGTTAGCTTAGCTCGTAACTTAGCTTCTCATCTTAGCTGCTTTTAGCAATCCAAAAATGTGACTTTGGACACTTAAAGCAGATTTTAAAGAGAAAAGATAAAAAAGAGAAAGGGAGAAGTCAGTGAAGAACACCGGAGTTGATCTTTTTGTCATCCAGTGTCTTCAGTAGAAAGAGAGACAGGAAGAAACGATAAAGCAAAAAAAATGAAAATGAGGTCAATAATTCTAATTTATCATGTGATTAATTGATTTATTGTTCATTACGACAGGACTAATTAATTGAATTTACATTGATCAGCTCCAACGATAGGTGGTCAGCATTTGTCCAGTTCTGATCCAATCGTCAACAGTTAAATGAGCTCACCTTATCACTGAGGTCCATGCTGGTGGCAGAGTAGGCAATCTGTGGGATGTTGAATAGCTGAAGCAGATTTTGCACTTGAATGGCCACTGAGCTTGATCCCGGTCCAATTAAACCTACGATGGGCTTCTTCCCCCTCATTGGAGTAGCAGCGGGGTCTGCACACTTCATTGTCGCTCCTCCACCGCCGCCTCCTCCTCCTCCTCCTCCCCAAGAACTCATCCCACCCCACTCCTCAGCTTCATCAGACGAGACCAGAGAGTCCCTTATGAACTCGATGCTCTGCTCCAGAGCCACAGCCGAGTGCCAACAGGAGTCCCGAATCTCACAGCCTAAGGTGATGTTAGGAAGGATTTGTTGGTCAGAATTGATTCGGTCCAGTGTGTGCATCATGGCCTCCACCCTCTGGATGCCGTACTGCTCTCGCACGGCACCGCACTTGCGCTCATGTACCTGGAGCAAACAGGACAAAGGATAAAATGAACCAAATAAAACTCAATTGACGTTAACGTAATGTTGTTGAAGTCTTGTCATCGTGGTAAATTTGATCTTTTGTTCAGACTCATTACTTCATTTCTATTTAAGCAGGTAAAATTATCAGATTTTTACACACGTGCTTTGAAAAAATATTACTTTGGTACTTTGATCATTTTTATTTTACATTCACATTGCTTTCATATTCAAAGAGATATTTTTTCCCCTTCTCCAATTATTCATTATGAGAATGGAAAGAAAGCTTGAATACCAGTGGGTGAGTGTTGGTTTCTGAGGCAACTAATGGAGCTTGAATGTTCATGGGCTCACAAAAAACTACTCAGTCTCCAAATTAAATATATTCCTTTGATAATCCGAGCAACATTATGACCCTTTGTTTAACTGTTCACAAATCTGCTGAAAAATTATGGCCAGTACTTTTTTTTTCTGCTCCCAATTTAACAGTTTCTTTCTTCATTTATGTGACATTTTCATTGTGTTTCTGTCAAACAAAGATATAATTAGGGTAAGATAGCAAAAAGCTGAATTCTTTAAATCTAATAAGACACGAGCCATGCTGCAGACAGACACAAAACCACTAAATCACCTTGTCAGCGGGAGGCTGATGATGGACAGAGAATAAGGCTCCAATGATGATGTCACCTGGCATGTGTGCGACAACTCGCCGCTCATTTGACACAGCGGTGTCAGCGTGATCAGGCCTCACCCAAATGGACAAAACTAGCAGCAACCAGAGCCTCATCTTGGTCCGATGATGTCGCAACGAGGAGCCAGATTTTAGGTTTGCGGTGAAGAGTTGTCACAGTTTTGCTTGGGAAACACTTTTGCCACCCATGACAAGAGCTTGCGACACAGTGGAGGATCTGAAACAGCTGATTTAAGTATATTCCTTTCCAACCCGTCTTTATTTCCTTTAGATGTCAAGGAGGAAGCATCACTGAGACAGATGTGACAGGTGCAGCAATGCAACCTTGGAAATTCAAACCAGAGTCTGGGCTAAGTCTCATTGGCTGAAACAACTCCAGGATGCTGCAGTTATAAGGCTGGCTTGGTCTCCACAGTAGCAGGGGAATGAAATGCATGTTCACATGGACCTGTAATCAGAAAAATACCTTATTAGAAAATGACATTTTAATGTGACTTTGGCAAGAATTAAAGCTTTCCTGTCTTGTCACAGTCTTATCAGATCCTTTCACATTAATTTTAATGCATCTTCATTGAACCTGAGATGGTGACAAATCATAAATACTTTTCTTGTGTGCGTTTCAATTGTAGATTGTGATTAAATTAAAATCCATTCAATAAAATGCATTTTGTTGTAATTTTGTAAATGTAAAACATATCTACAGGCATTCATTATTCAACTGTTGCTTAAAAAGAGAGAAAACATCGTATGTATTCAAAAGACTGAACCGATATATTTAACTAAATATTGTGTTTTTTGTAAATATATTTCACAACAAATCACAGAGAATTATTCTGGGAGACACTGTTACAATTAACGCAGCTCCTTGGTTTCAATTTTTGGAGGATGTTTTCCACATTTCTTTGATAGCAATAAGGGTCGTTTCATTTTATACTTAAAACAGACAGGCTACAAAATACTAGGGACAATAAACATTTTCGGTATGCGAACAAACAGATTTGTTTTCTGGCTGCTCAGTTGGCTCTGAGTCGTGAATGTCAGCTGTATTTAAGGGTTCATATGCTAGTGAGGGGAGGACTGAGGGCTGCCTGGCTGCAGCAGCTCTGTGATGACAGCACTGCTGGCATGAATATTGTTGCAGATGTTGATCTTATTCAATGCTGATGTTTAGCATTGATCAGAGTCCATCATTCTCTAAAGTTTTTATGGGAAATAGTGTAGTAGAGTGCAGAAACAACATGCAGCAAAATCTTTGGATCATTGGTGCATGGGGTCAGAGCTACAGAGGCGTCCTGAGCAGCCTTTGTGTTGTTGTTGTTGTTGTTGATTAATGTGATGACTAGTCTTGGCTGAGGTCCAGCACTCTATATACCTTACACATTGATGCTTCAAACACTTGCACATCTTTTCAGACTTGTACTGTTCCTACTGGGGAATAGCTCTACATCACTGTGAATGAGCGTGTCAACGTTATACCAGTAACAAACACAAGAGTGCATCACATTTACCAGCTGCTGAGAGGAACGGGTGGTTTTCAGGCTGGTTTTCCACATTACTCCAATGATATCAGTGAGGTTAGATTTATGTAAAACATCAAGTCCTTGTTTGTTTTTCTTTGTAGGACGGCTGTGGCTGAGTGGTTAGAGCAGTTGACCTCCAATGCAAGAGTTGGGGGTTCGACTCCACCAGCCATCACATGCCGAAGTGTCTCCGGGCAAGACACTGAACCCCTCGTTGCCTCCGATGCATGTCCCATCGGTGTATGAATGTGATAAAGCTCTGATTAGTCTCTTTAAAATGAATTGTTCAATTAGTTTTGTATAGATCTAGTAGAGTGCTGTATGAATGGGTAAATGAGGCACAGATTGTGTTGTAAAGAGCTTTGAGTGACTTGATAAGATAGAAAGGTGCTATATAAGTACAGTCCATTTACCATTTCGTTAATTTAATTTCTGTTTAGGGCTGTAGTGACTAAAAAAAGCCATAGTGAGTGCCAAAAATATCTATATACTTTACTTGAGGTCAATCCATAAATAAGTCCATTGACTAACTGAGCGGGAGCTTATGGTTTCCCTGCTGCCACTACTTTATTGAACCTCTTTAGCAGTGGGTGTTCTTTCTAAAAGAGCCCTGTGCAGTCCTGCTGAAACAGCTTAAGTTGTTTTCAAGACCAAACAAAAATCTGACATAAATGCTTAGGAGCAAATGTGCATTTGCAGAAATTCTGGATTCCTTTTGGTTAAGCAAAAACATGGGCTACTGCTTCTGTCTGGTTGTAAATTATCACTAAATATCATTACTAAGGTACAAAACAAAGGTTAGACAACAATTAAGAAACTTTTGTAAAATATTGACAAGTCAGCTTCTTTATGGGTGATACAGACAAATCAGAATACATCCTGTATTTATTAGTCAGTTGAATATCAGGCATTGCTTAAAGACATTTAACAAAACTGTGCCTCAACATTTTTTTGCCAATTGTTAGACTTTGCTTAACCTGACTGATCATAAAAAACTAACTTTGTCGCAATGGAGCAATCGAAATAATGATAAACAGCAGAAAAACCTGAAATGTTTCCAACAGCAGATGATGCGAGTCATTTATGCAAAAGAGGATTGAGGTTGTGAAAGGACTGTTGGGACATGTCAAAAAGGACACAGAGCAATTGAAGGAGGTAGTGTATCCATCCATCTATCCATCCATCCATTATCGTTACCCACTTCTTCCTTTCTGGGTCGCAGGGTCACTGGTGGTGCCTATATCCAGCTGTCACTGTGCGAGAGGATGGAGACATCTTGGACAGGTCTCCAGTCCATCACAGGGACACATCGAGACAAATGAGACAAACAACCATTCACTCTCTCACTCACACCTAGGGACAATTTAGAGTTACCAATCAGACTAACATGCATGTTTTTGGTCTGTGGGAGGAAACTGAAGTATCTGGAGAAAACCCATGCATGCACGGAGAGAACATGCAAACTCCACCCAGAAAGGCCCCCGGCTGGGATTCGACCTGGCAACCTTTATGCTGAGAGGCGGTAGCTCTACCAACTGAGCCACTGTGCCGCCTGTATATCTTAACTTTTTTTTTTTTTTAATTGAGCAAGTGGGCAGAAGACATAAATCAGCAGAATGAGCGCAAGATTGGAAAATAAATAAATAAGACGGGGAGACTGAACAGAGAATGATAAAACATGAACAAGCAATACAAAAAGGCACCATGGGACTGAGTCTCCCTGAATGAAATCAGCTCACAGGACGGCAGAAAGGTTAACTGCTGCTCTAGTGATGAACAAATCAAACAGGATGAAGCTCTGTTTCACACATGCTCCCAGACGATCAGTGATGCTCTCCATCTACTGATGGTACACACACTTCTGCTGATGTTTACAAGGCACTACAGATCTTGGGGCACATTTGTCACTTTGTGCCATTTATAAATTATGGTATATTTCCTTTTTGGCTCCCATGCCAACGAATTACAGTATAAACAGTGACTTCAATTCAATTCAGTTCAACTTTATTGTATAACATTCAATGAAATGGAGATTTAGCTTTGACATCTGGCTCATAAAAAAACAACACAAGTTAAAAATGTCATAAAAATTTTAAAAAGCTTTGCTAACCCAATTAAAAACATTCAATTTAAAACATTATAAAATACATGATTCATTAATAATATGGAAACGTCCCAGCAGACGTTTGTTATGTGAGGCTGCGTTTAAATAGGACCCTGTTAAGTACATTCAGCGCAGAGGGAACAAATGACTTTCTGTACCCATTTCTCTTCATGCCAGCCGTGTCTCTGCTGTGGCTCAAGCTACACTGCAGCCATGTAAAACCTGCAGTTTAACTGTGCTGCCTTTACGACCCTCATAAAACTCTGTATTTTTGACTTGTGTTTAAAAAAAGGACCGTAAAGACAACAGCATAAAGGGTCTTCAGTGTGACTACACACATGGAGCTGCAAGATGCATCAGTTCAGACATGTTCATGCAGTGTTAAAATACAACAAATTCAAACATAATTTGATGCTCTCCTCACTTTCTGCGCCTGCTCTATAAACCACACGCTCCTGTTTTTCCAGATAGCTTCTCCGCATAATTCTCGTCCCCTAAAACAAGCCACCGTTTCATTTGCTTCACTTTGTGAGTCACTTACACGCTGAGTTACTCCATCACTCTACCTCCATGTTGCTTTCTTGTTGTGAACGCTTAACTGTAGCAAATGAACAACTCAGTCCCTAAACAAACACTGCCTTTGTACCATTACCATTTACATCTTTAGCTCTATTCAAACTACACACAAGGGCACCATAAAACCCTCAAAATCAACTTGTTCATAGACATAAAAATCACTTGACAGGAAGGTGAAAACAAACTCTGCCTGTTTCTCTGCCTCACTTTGATACAGTGCAGTTTATTAGTGATGACACACTGTCCTCTGTGCTGACAAAGCTTTAACCGTAATTTACCATGCAGTAAAGAGAGCATTACCTGTTTTAGATTGAGGAGCAGGGCTTAATTTGAGCTGGATCATGCCAGAACAGGATCCTGGAACTCTCTTATTTTGACAGGGTGTGTTCCAGTAACTGTTTGCTTGGTTCTGGTAACTGTCAGGCTTACTGATAATAAAGATATGAACAAATTATACTGCCTTGAATGAATAAAACATATTAGATATGTAAACTGATAATTACATAAACACTAGTTTTAAACACAACAGACGACAACACGACTTCTTATTATCACATATGATCATCTGGCTCTTCAAGTGAAGCATTACCACCTCTACCCTTACAAAAATCTCTGCCCCTAAAAGAGTGGTGGGGGTGGGTGCCTGGAGGTTTCACATGTGGAGTCGGACAGTGAATTCAACGAACAAGAGTCGGCTCGGAACCGTCAAGTAAGGGGGGGAGGGGTGTGAGTGTTTGCAAATGTTGGTAAACATAGATGTTTAACAACCTGTTAAAATACACCAAAATGCAGAAAATCACATCTACTTTATTCAAAATTTTATGGGGGAGGACCCCCAAACACCCCCCCTCCCTCCACGCTATTTGCATTCTGGCGTTGATCGGTTTACTAATTAA